CTCTCTGTTGCCTTCCAGATGAGTGTCCCGGCACTGCTGCCTGGAGCAGTGACACCTGGCAGCAGTAGAGCTAAGGCGTCTCTCATGTCTTTTACTATACAGCATAAGAGCAGTTCTCATTTCTGGCTGGTAAAATGGAGTGGAAGTTCTTTCAGTGGAAGCTTCTTTGTATATTTTATACAAGTTAGGTCAATAAGCAGAGAGGAATTTTATTTCTCCTTTAGTTTTGTGCTTTTTTTTCTCATGTGGATGATATACATAACAAGGTAGAACCTCTTTTAGAAAATGAGAACTAAATTAATGATAGTTCTTTTGCAAATGTCTGGAGAAGAAAGAAAGAAGAATTTTTGCAAATGTCTGGAGAAGAAGAAAGAAGAAATAAGACAAACGGGTAATTGAATGAATTGACCTGTCACGGAGCAAACTTCTGCAGAATATACTGCAATGCATGGATGTTGTTAGCAGACTTTTTCATTCTGTAGTGATGCCATCTCAACACTTACGTGTGTGTGTGTATATATATATGTGTATATATATGTGTATATATATATATATATACACCCAAGCATACGTGCTGGGGACTGTCTGTTGAGAGGATATAGGCTTTAAGTGGCTCACAAGACACAGACTCTCACAGGAGTTAACGGTTTCCTTTGGCCTTATGTTAGTTACTAAGCGTAGCCTGTTCCTAGATTCTGAGCTGCTTTGGAACATGGTTTTCCTGCTGCACAGCTTGAGCCAAATGTCTTCAAAATTAGCTTTTATAAAAGCTTGGGTATGTGTTAAACTCTGTTGAAACAGTCTTCAATGCGTTTTGGTCCTGTCTGTTCTCCTCTTCAGTTTGAAATATGCTCAAGATCAGAGGAGCTCAACTGAATCACGTTTATAGCAGCTTTTGAAACAGGTTTTCTTCCACAGAAATGGATGTTAGTAAAACTTGTATTTTTCTGTGGTAAAATAAAGTGGTAGGTCTGTGTTAAGTGGGTACCTCTGTTTTTTTGTATGAACTTAATCTGAAAATGTTTGCAGCATATTTTGATAGTATTTGTGATTTTGAGTAAAGGAAAACAGTTTCCTATCCAGTATATAAACTCTTTTTTTTATTATTATTATTTTTTAATGAATTCTGTTTGATCTGTTACAGCATAATTGTGAGAATAAARCCTCTGAGGGAAGATTAAATATATATGTAGACATTACAAAAGAATCTCCTTTCTCTAATGCTATACCTACCTGAAAAATAAGCAATTGATACTGCTCTGAAAGCATTTATTTTAAAAGATCTTTTCCTCTGAAACATGATTTAGACCCTATATTGCATATTAAAAGCTATTTTGCTGCAAAAGTGATAGTTCTGAATAGATGACCTTACTGAAAACATAATTTTGTTTACTTGGGATAGTTTTAAAGCCAAGAAGGATGGGTAATGGAGGGGTAATTTGAACACAAATACTCATCTCCTATCTTGGTTCACTTTTTTTCCCTGTGTTGTTTGTTTATGAGGATCAGTATTAATTACGCTGTGTTGCAGGAGACGGTGTTATAAATTAAAAGACACGTGTCTACAATTAGACAAGCTATTTCCTAGAAACATAGTTAATCTTCTTATATTTCAAGGGATGTTTTTCTGATGCATTATTAATATAAACTTCAAAGTAAAAATCATTTAAGAATAAAATCATACTGAACTGGAATAGATGTAAGAAAAAAATGTTTTTTTTTTTTCATTGTGCTTTAGAGGAGTTCATCACAGAAGTGAGTCTGGATATTAGCTTTCCTCAGTTCTTTTATTTATTGGTTTATATTTCATTTATATTTTATGAATTCCTGAAGATTTTCTGTAAACTTTTGACTGATTTCACAGGTGWCTGTAGACTCCCTTACATTGGAATTTTTGGAGATTTGACATGTAACAAATACCTTATAATTAATTAACAGAAAATTAGGAGAATTTTGTGGAAGAAGAAATAGAAGAAACAGTTTATCTTGTAATGTAAAATTCCATGTCAAGGGGACCACTGAAGAATCAGTGCAGTGTAATATAAAATAGAGCAAATTCAAATGTTAATACTTTCATAGAGAAGATTAGCTTCCCAGCAGTTACGAGGGCTTGAAGGTGAAGGTAGAAAAAGCTGTGAAGAGAAGAAGGTTGTTGGGAGAGTTCATGTAGATCCGCTGGTCCAGCAAGGATGCATCCCTATGAATCCTAAGCATCCATAAGATAATACATTCGAGATTAACCTCGTTTKGTTTGGTTTGGTTTGGTTTTCTGAGTTTAACRTTACAAGAATTGAACAACTTCTATATAAGCTTAGGYTAAATGAAGGTCCCYGTGGGTCATAATGTCCTGCAAACCTCATTTTTGGATGGGGTGGAACCATCCTCCCCCAATCCTGACCTGATTTTCGGTAGCTGCCAGCAGCAGTGGGGAAGTTAGCACGGGCTGGGTCGGGAGCAACCCGGGTACCGCGCCGGGTCACGTCCGTGCTGGGGCAAGCAGGGAGGCGAGTCCAGCCGAGAGCTCCGCCAAACTGCTGCAAAACTGCACTGCGTCGTGTGAGAAGGGACATGGATGTCCCCCTGCGTGCTCAGCTGGCCTTGTTTTGTGAAGGAGTAAGGTTAGCACCTKTTTAAATCAGTATTCTGAACACAGGAGCTAATAAAAGAATACTGGATAAATGGAAAAAGATGACAACACTCAAGAAGAGTTTGAGGTAACCAAGGAAAACAGTTAATTTAGGAAAAATGAAACAGCTACAGTTATACCAAGCATGATGGATATGAACAAACAGCATTGGATCAGTGGAGCACTGAATATYGATTGGATAAGTGGGCTGTGGACTAATTTATTGTTTCCACCTCAACCAAAGAAACAAGAAAATCCTGATTATTTTGGAAGAAAACTGCTTTGCTTGGGGGAAGCACAAAGTGAAAACCACTGCGGTTGAAACTCAGTGCAGCAGTCCTTAATCTTGGAGTTAATGAGAGCTTGCCCACTCTCTCCTGTGCTTGCAGCAGAGGTCTGCACTGCTCTTTATTCAGCCTTGAGAGGGTTTGTCAGTCTATAACCAGGAAGTTTTCACCTGATAAGATGCTGCACCTCGAGACTGCACACAAGCACCCACCTGCTTAAACACACACTGCTGAAGTGACAGGAAAATGCATCTTTTTCCTAGGAGAATGAGAATTTTTTTGATGAAATTACTGACCAAAAATATGTTAAAGTCTGAAGAATTTTTCATGCAGGGAATTGTTTCACCATGCATTTTATGCAGCCTTCATCTTGACAATTAAAAGAGATTGAGTTTCAGTGTGTTTGTATTCCTGTGTGCAAGCACAACAGTACAATGCCAAAATAGAAAATCCTACAGTGAAATGTTTAATAATCTAAAGATTTTTGTGTATGTGTGATGATAGTTTATTGGTCTTGAATTTGAAGGYTTTTCTTTGTTTAATCAGAGAGCTGACAAGTGACATCTGTATGTAATAGTATATCAGCATATAGTGCCATCTCTGCAGCAGCTTATATTACAGCTATATTACTGTTTAGATAACATAAATAGGATTAAATTCCTGTTGACTTTTGGTGTTAGTGCTATACAGGTGTTTTGGCAAGTAGCTTATGTGAAAAAAGTAAGGTTCACATCCACCGYCATAGGTTGGAATTTAGAAATAATTTCAATCCCCATCGCTTTTCCTCTTTCGAAAAAGTAATTTGAAAAAATAATAAAATACCAAAATAAGCCTTTCAAAATCAAGCATTTCTGAATTTGTACAAGCTTCTTTTAAAAATGATACAGAGCATACTTTTTTAATTTGTACACCAGAAAAAGAAAAATTAAGTATTGTACTTCTCATTTAGGTTTTCTCACAAGTGCAGAGTTGCTTACGTGCAGGTTTGCAGGAGCACGGCTTAGCTAACAGTGACTGAGCTTGCACTTTTTATTATATTTAGAAATATCAAAATATCTTAACGATTAAGCATCTACAAGTAAATGTCCTGTGAAAGTCTAAACCACCAAGCTTTAGACAAGTATACTGTAGGTGGAGTTGTGCAAGCTTCCTTAAGGATCTGTGCCAGAACATGGGAGTTGGAATCTGAAGAAAAATCCTCTTTATTCRGATACTGGCTTCCTCAAAAGCAAATTTTTTGAAGCGGTGAATGAAGATGAGATTTCCGAACTTATTCCTGTTTGAAAGTGAACTTGTTTCAAATCTAGTGYCTGACAAAGAAAATCCAGTAGGCTTAACTCTGTGTTGTCTGGTGTCCACCTCCTTGAAAATGAGAAAGGTCAAACCTTTCTTCATTCAAGCAGTAGTGTTTTTCACTGTAATCTTCAACAATTTTTAGATTTCTGTATCTTTTTAAGATGCTCTATTAAGCATACAGCGAAGGAAGCCAGTAGGAAAAGATAAATGCACAGACAATGATTTTCCTGAGCTTGGTAGTTAATGTAATAGTTTGAAAAGGAAACAATTTACAAGTACTTGTTCAAATGTGCTATGTAGAAAGCGAATAAAATAAACAGCGAGATGTGTTGTGATAGGAACTCAGATGATCAAAGGGAGCTACTGAATAGACATAGTTATTCTTTCAGATAAAATAAGGAAGTAATTCCTTTGAGAGGTTTTGTGATCATTTCTGTTGGAAAACTTTATATGCATTACTCRGAAATTCAATGAAAAGAAAAGCAATGCAGCCTAGATAATAGTGTCAGCTCTGAGCACGAGGTGGTGGCATGTGGACATAGCCTGAGCTATTTCTCCAAATCATTTGAATGGAAATATTGGATTAGTTAACCTTGTGTCAGGTCTGTTAGTTAAATAAACCTTCCAACTGTTCCTGACTGAGGGATGCATAGTTATGACTGAAAGATGCTGCTGCTTTTCATTAGAATTTTGTCAAACATATCCTGCTAACATAATGATTTTAAAAGAAAATGGTTTATTCGATGGAAAAGGATAACAAGCAAAAAATTCACAGCCTTTTCTTTTCACAGGGTGTTTCAGCCCAGTAGGAAATCCTCTTAGCCTAACACTATTGGGCAGACTACAGACGGTAAGGAGTTTTATCTTTGCATTTTTTTAAAAATTGATGTTTAACTATAAATGCTTTTATTCACAAGCTCTTATTGTAGAGAAGCTTTTTTTTTCTTTCTTGCTATTTTTTTTAAACCTATCTTTATTCTCAAAAGAAGTATCTTCAAGCAAATTGCCTGCATGGGCAAATAAGCTCTTCTTGCGGCCAGCTGGTAAAGAGGTCAGAGATCTGTAAATTAAAACTTTATTTTTTTCACTGTTTACTTTTTGTTGATATGAAATAAATAAGCCAAAATCACAGGCAGTGTCACTGATTCTTACTGAGAATACAAGCACTGATAAGTGGGGAGAGAAAATTGGAGTCATAACTTCAATTTGAATCCTATTTGCAGTGCCAAGTTTCCTCATATTTCACTTGCTTATAACAAGTGAAATCACAGCTATCCCTCTATCCATCTTTATGTAACTATTAATTGGAAACTTCTAGCAATGATATTTATTCCTTTCTTTGTTACATTTCTCATTTCCTGATCACTGTAATGAAAACCATCAGAATCTAYGCACCTGTTTGAACAAACACAAAATATAGAGGGGAACTAGTCCTTGAAGAGTGGGTGGTGTTCTGAGTACTGGCCCTAGAAGTCTGGGCCTGTTGTACTGAAGATGTTAAATCCAGTCTCCTATATTGAGAATAGCATGAGTTAATATTCTGGGTTAACTGCCTGCCTCTTGTGTTTTTTCAGAGAATAGTTAGAAAGGGCCATAAATTACATTGGATCCTTTGTACTATAAAGCTGTTTTGAAGTTTGGGGGTTTTTGCACCTTTAGTGTAACTTTAATAGACTCTGTTTAATGGAGTTTGTGTAAGGCCGATATGATAAATTTGATTTATTGAGAAATTTCAAAAGTTTTTTTTTCTTGCTTTTTTTTTTTTAGTGATTCAGTATTTGTTTTTTTCACTTTCAAAATTTTCCCATTTTTAATTATCAGTATGTAGGGATTAGAAAATACTGCAAATTCTTCACTCTTCATTTAAGAGTCCTGCATCACATAAAGACTTATAAACATTTATAAGAGCAACTGCTTTGGAGGATATTGCGTAGCAGTTATTTTAATTTATTATTATTATTATTTTTGCCAGAATAAGGGCGGTTAAATGAAACTTTWAAATTTTTTTATTTCAGTTATTTTTGATTCTGTTGTTATAAATGCATTAAGTAAATAAGTGTTAAATGCATATAAACTGAGTTCTTTAAATCAAGAAAGTAGCTTATTTCCAAAAGACAAAGTAGTTGAAGAGTTTTTGAATAACTTTAGAAACTGAAGTATATCACACACTTCTAAATTGATCCCCCMMYTTTTTTWWAATTTTTTAATCCCCATAGGCTTTSCTGCAGCAGCTGTGTTTGCATTTCTATTTTCTGTTTGTACATTGCTGGTTTCAATAAAGTGCAGCCTGGCACTTTTTTTTTATTCCTCTGGGCAGATTATCGATTCCCATGCACATTAAATATTGAAGGACTGTAGGCAAATAAGGACTGTAGTCATCTGAAGACTAAGAAAGTAACTGTGCAGTAGTTTCATGAGAGCAGACAGATTAATTAACACCAAGGAAAGTACATTTTTCTTAGCAGTTAATRCTTTCAGAATCATTTTAATTCAGCTTTTAATACTATCCTTGTACTTCTGTTTTCTGTGCACTAAATTTGTATGGTTAGGTAGCCTGAGGTAGGTATGTGTTGACAGTTAATTGGGCCAGGTAACAAGAACAGAATTAAAACAATTTCCAGTTATTTTATGCTAAGTATCAGCTTATTTTGTGTTTCATTTAAAACTGGGTATTAAAACTGGTATTGCAGGCCATTCTTRGGGAAGGATAACAGTAAGTACACATCCTCACATTTATGAAGAAAATGGAGCTCAAAATTATTCTATCTACTTTAAAAGCAGTTAAAATACACTCTCATCTTTAAGACAATCCCCCCCTCTTTTTTTTTTTTGAATACTGTAAATCCATATCTCATTTTGACACTTTAAAAAAATCTTAGTAGGCTCAGAACCTAGGCCATTATACACTCAGGAGCAGATTTGTTGGCAAGACTAGGGGAGCTTTAACTCTCATTTCCTGAGTCCTTATGAGAGCGCTTGCACCAGTCACTCTCCAAGTTTCATTCCTGCCCTGGCACTTACGAGGCACAGAAAGGTGGAGAGAGGCTGTGTCACTGTGGAGCATCCAAGCAACAGATGTTTGTCCAACAGGAACAGGAGGGAGGGGGTTTTGCCCCTGTATGCACACACCTCARTGTGTGCATGTAGTGTCTGCATAAGTTTATTTACTGTAAGTGTATGCAGAAGCATCTGCAAGGGTAGTTTTTGAGAGCTGATGACTAATTAGAAGTTGAACATTATCTGCACCTGTATTCTGTTGTCTTGAAGAATCGATTTACCTATAAGAAGCATATGAAGCCCGTAGTAGAATGATAACTTTTTTCCTTTAAACATTGATATTATGTTATTAAAAGTGTGTTTTTTGGGTAGTAGGAATAAAATGTCAAAATCAGTACGGAAAAGAAGGCAGTAACGTATTGCTTGCTTTTGGTCAGTGCTGCCTTTCCTAGGGCAATGAGCTCTATCTAATGCTGAAATCTTGTTGGCCAGCGCAGTATATAGGGAGATGAGTAAAAGCAAAGGCTCCATTACCACAGTCACTGAAATAGCCTAATAAAGAAGTCATAAATGTTTTAATTAGTATTTTTATCGGGAATYGGTAGCATTTGATATAACAACATTATTATCTCTTGATTCTGGCTGGTAACACTCTCTTTTGCCTTCATTTTTTAGAGTTTTTATTTTTCCATTTGAAATATCAAAGTTAACTTAGAGAGTTACAAACAACCAGTGTAATATTCCAGTCTAGGACTCTAAATCAGCTGCTGAATCTTCTGAGAATACCCGCTAAGCTGAAAGTTTTTAGCAGTTTTGTTCAACCAAAACCTGTGTGACACAGCAGGCTTTTTCAGCAGGCCTTTTCTTCCTGTTTCTCACAGATGGTCTGGCTATAGGTCCCACATCTGTTCCAGATGCAACAAAATGGTTAACTACTTTTCATCTTGCATGGAGAAAGACAGTAACACGGTCTTAAGAGTTACACATTCGGAAGCTTCTCTGTGTCTGTAGCTATTTTGAAATTCTGAAAATGTGGCTGAATCTCATGCCACTATTAAAAAAATAAATAAAAATAAATAAGAAATGGAAAAGCTGGTAATTTTTCCTGGCAGTTACTTGCAGCATAACTGGTAGTCACCCCAGTTTCAGGAATTACCCAGCACAGGACTGCTGCTCTGCAGTAAGGACCGTGCATGATGAGCGCCCCGCTTGGCCCGGCAGGCCCTGGGCGGGAGTTGGGGGGTTCACGCAGTCCCTGACGCCCCCCTGTGCCCCTCTGGAGCTGGAAACTCCTTGGACTGTAGCATGAAAAGTTCTGCACGGTGCCTGAGAACATGCAGCATAGTCTCAGGATGACTCATGGATTTCAGCTTGTTATTTCCAAACAGCTCACTCTCTTCAACTTCTTCTTATGTTTTAGAGTATATAAATACTTTATTAAAAAGAGAGAGGCTGATTGAGACACAGTAATGGGGCAATATGAGTACCTGAACTAGATACCTAAATAATAGCGCTAATAATTCTGATGAATCATTTTTGAGCAACAGGAGGCACTCCCATCCCACGGGCTAAGCACATTGCCTAAACGATTCTSTTGAACTCGCGAGTGGAAAATGAGAATTCGCTGAAACCTCCAAGGCGCTGCTGGCTGCTCATAGCCCACTGCACAAGCCACACGCCCTGGGCTGCGATTCCACCACTCGGCCTGCAAAATTTGTTTGTCAAATCAGGTTGCTGTGTTTCACCCTGGGCATATGCTGCTCATAGGTATTGAGAACACTTTAGGTGGCATGTGTAGATGTTCTTCTACATGACAAGAACTAAAAGCAAGTGTGCAGCTTTTTTTACTCCATCCACCTACTATAAATATCTATAACTACTGTAGCACATCCTAAGCAATCTGGAGCAGATGAAACACTGCTGGAGTGGTCTTCAGGATCAGTGGTAATTTCTTTCCTGTCTGAGATAAGCCTTGCTGAGTTAGGAAAACAACATGTAGAGCAGGGCAAACGATCTCGTATTCTGGAAAACACCATTAATTCTGCCAAAGATTGCTGTAATTATATTCCTTGGATCACCCTAATAAAACAATAGAGAATGAAAAGAGCAGTACATTTCAGATAGATGCTTAGGAAAGTGAGAGAACCTGTGCCAAAGATAGTTAAATGGACTGTAATTTAAAAAAAAAAAAAAAAAAAAAAAAAAAAAGAGCAGCAATATGCTAAATAGAAATGCTCAAATTTAAGAGTAGTTTATACTGTTGTACAATCTGTTATGGATGGCAGCAGCTGAGTCAGAATGCTCACATTGGCTTCTTATCCTAAAATGGTCTAATTGCCTGGACCCTGGTTTTATGTTGGCACTCGACTGCCTAATCTTTCTGTCCCGCTTTGTATAATTACTTTGGCGCAGGCAGCATCTTGGCCAAAGTAGTTTTGCCCTTTGTTAAAACAGGCCATTGAAAAATAAATTAATGCCAACAAAGAACTGTCATCTCTTCTGTTGTTATAATTTATTGCTCCTCTGTTAATTTTCAAAATTGTCCAGTTTTTAAATCTTTCAAGTGAATAATTTTGACGGAAAGAARATTTTGTGGGCACATCTGAATTATTCACATCCAGCATTGTTTTGAGTTGTATCGGTTATTAGGACTAATAATTTTCATTATATAATGTAATATATATGCATATACATGTAAATTACTTCTTTTGCACTAAGGTTCAGAGGTGAAGTTCACTGCGAAACTCTACAATAATGTTTGCAAACAGATAAGCTTAGGCTGTTACAATGGTCAATCCACTGTCTTCCGACTTGTTTTTAGTGTAGTGTGCCTACTTAAAAAAGTCCCTTGATAAATACCTTCCAAATATCCAGAGAGCCAATATTACTCAATGTTGTTTAATATAATTTCTACTTTTTCATTTAAAAAAAAAGTATGTATTTGTTACAGATTCTTAACTTTCATGTTAAAAGTGGATGTGTCAAATATGGATAAATTTCAAAATTATAATGCATGAAAATACTTCATATTTAAATTAAAAATAATTCCTTCCTCTAGAGTAGTGACTGCCTGACTGCACTGGGGGTGAGAAGAGGAAGTAGTTCTCCTCTAGGGCAAGAGACAGTGAGTACTGTTTTTTTTCAGTATCCCTATAGCTGTTTCACTGTATCTGTGCTTTTGAAAACATTTTCTCTTCTTTCAGCTTGATATCTTTGCAGCTACAGATTTTGGAATTCTTACTCTGCTGTTTCTGCGTCAGCCTTAAAAATCACTTCATAAAATTTTGATAGATACAGATTTTTATTTTGCTTGAATGTGAGCCTAGAAAACATTTACAAAAACCTGAAGYGGGATCAGAAGACATTCCATTGCCGTGGTCATAATTTTAAATCTCTTTGTGAGTGACTTTGTTCTTGAGGTGCATTTCCTGTGTCCCTTCATAATCATCTTTCTGATTATATTTCTCCAATGAGTATAATGACAATTCCATTTTCCTTTTTTTTAATTATCAAATTTGCTAACCAGTCATATTGCAGGACATACTGAATTTGAATTCTTATTTTGCGAGGCAGCTAGGTTATGGGTCTTGACTTGGTCATTTGTTCTGTTTATTGGCAGTGTTTCCATATTACTGAATTTTTATAATTTTTTCCAAATGGCAAAACATTTATACTCACCCTACCCTATAAAAGACACCACAAAAGACAAGTACGTGCAGCTCTGTCTTTCACTGCTCTCTGTAGTGCCAGTAGTTACATTCCCTCCTCACCTCAGAGGACCTCACAAGCTCCCCTGCTCCTTGGCTCTGAGGAGACCTTTGCCCTTGGCTGAAGTGGGCGCTGTTGGAGCTCTCCTCACTGTGCAAGACCCGGGAAGCTTCTGGCTCCGTGGTGCTTCTGCCCTCTCTTCTGCACTGCCTGTTAAGTCAGTATTAACCACTCTGTGATCCCTGCTCCTACGTTGTCACCGTCACCCCTTGTTAATGCACTAGCTTTTTGAATGCCCAGAACAGTTCTGGTGGAGGATGCTCCTTCATTTCTTAGCTGCTCCATGGAAGTTCATCGTTAGGGAATATATGCTTCGATAAAATCCCTGTCTGTTGAGRGCTAAGCTAATCTTAACTCTTTGTTGCTGGCCAGCCTGTGAGCTGCCACACAGAATTTACAATGCTGGGAGCATTTCCATCTTTTCCCAGTCATAACTGATTTAATGTGTCTTATCCATGGCATGCAAATACGAGAAATAAAGCAACATTAACTATATCTTTATAGCTGTAGCTCATAAATAATCATACTGAAGTCAAAATATGAAAATCTTTGTGTGTTTCATCAGCCTTAAGGTAGACGTGCATGCATAGGCAACAAAAAGTTTATCCCTGACTTCTTAATAACTTGGGAGTCTTTTAACCCCTAATGAGAAGTGCCCTTCTCTCACTCCCTAACAATCCCTATATCTAACCTCTTTACATACAATTTCATGGAGCAGTATCATGTGACAATTATATAAATGAGAATAGTATATGTATGTGTAGTGTAATATGTAAAATATTTTTTACTCATTTATGATGAGTGAAGTTCCCTTAATTTTTCAGTTCACATGTTTTGAGGCTGTTCTGTATTAGTTGAGATAGATTTTTGATTGCAGATGGTAGAGAGTGAATAAGAAATTCTATGTGATATTTTTATATTTAGGTAGCAAGCAGGCTTCTGGCAGAAGGTAATGTCCTTTACGTAGTGAGCATGGTGCTGACCACCATTGGTATTTCCATCTGGCATATGCTGATGCATTGTATTTCCCTGTGACTTTATTATGTGGAGTATACAGCTATTTTTGCAGATACTTATAAAGCTGCGTATGTAAATACTTATTTCTAAACAAAAAAAAGTTTGTGAAGGAATCAGTTCAAAACTTTGCAATGACATTTTTCCTCTAGAATTTTCCTTCTAGTACAGCTATCACGCTACTGAAATATTTATTCAACCGCATATGCTACACACACGCACACATAGAATGGGATCTGAAGGTGGTGTAACAATTCTGAGAAAGTGAATGTATGAAGTGCCTTTTTTTTTTCTTTTGCTTCACAAGTAAATTGCTTATAAAACTAACAGCTGCTGTTTTGAAGCTAATCTTAGAGAATTGAATGTTCTTAACCATTTCTACAATCCCACAGTCCTTTATCTCGCCTCTCCTGCTGCTTTCCCACCACCCCTGATCCCATTAGCAAAACTTGAGAGAGCCTCAGCTTTTACCAAAGTGCAGCTTTGGTTTCAGCTGCCTTTCTGCAAGAGGAAGTGAATGTTGCGCTTTTTTCTCTGTGGCATGGTTGTGATAAAGCTGTGGTGCTCTTATCTCTCTTTTAGGTAGTGGCTCTTTATGACTACACAGCGCATCGATCAGATGAGCTAACCATCCATCGCAGTGACATTATCCAAGTGTTATACAAAGATAATGATAACTGGTGGTTTGGCAGCCTAGCAAATGGACAGCAAGGCTATTTTCCAGCTAATTATGTGGCTGGTGAAAGTAAGTTTACTGCTCTCTTCCTGGTATACCGGTGTGGGTTTAACTGATGGTCCAAAATTTTTAGCATGCTGTACTGCAGATTGCTCTGAAGATATGAATTTATTTAGCACGCATATGGCATAATGATTACTTAATGCAATGCAAAAATTGTGTCAAATTAGCTAACCTCTTAGCAAGTTGACATATCTAACTTCAGAAGCTGTTGGCACTTAGTAAAACATTCTAGGATTAGCTTATATAAGCCATGGGCTTGTTTGTCAGTCAACTGGTTTGACTCCTCTTACCTTCTTACATATCACCACCTCCTCATACTCTGCCTTGGCAGTGCTTTAGGATAKATCCAAGCATTTCACAGGCATCTTAGACTTTTCTTAGCTCTAACCATTTACCTTTAGAAAAACTCTGTTTATTCTCCTACTCTAGCAAGGAATGTTCAGTTCCCAAATAAGTGGAGTTCACTCCACTTATGAAGCTTTAAAAGCATGGTGATGATTGAGTCTCCAGTCTGAGAGATTACTACCAGGTCCTTGTCATTAAAACAGTTTTGATTAAACTACTACAGCCAAATGTAAAATCAATAACTAAAACCAATTTGAAATCTGATTCAATAATACAGGAAGTATTCTACTGAGTCAATGAATGTACTAATCCTCAGTGTCATGCCAGTTCTGAATATTCAATTTATAGACACAGTATGTGGTCTCATGCTACAGGAAATTCATGCGCTTTCTAAACTATCAATTATACTGGTGTTTAGAAATCTCTTAACCCAACATTTCTCAAGATGTTTTCCCCCATTTTCTACTTCCTCCCTCCGTCTTCCAAGTGAACAGCTTAGTGTTTCTGCCTCTTCTCTGAAAAGCTTGGACACAATATTGTGTGAACTTGATGAAGCTATTTGAAATAAGCTTAAATGCTTTCTGTACTGTCCTCCCCTCATGTATCCTGTACATTTTCTCCTTCCTCTCCACCTTGCAAAACTTGCAAAGTGAGCCAGAGGGCAGCTTGTAGGAACAGTCTTCAGTGAAGGCCTGTCCTTGAGAAGACTTAAAAAAAAAAAAAAAAAAAAAAAAAAGTTTGAGACAGTTGGCCAACTATGCAAAAAACCCACAATGTATATTTTATTTCAGTCAGTGAATGTCCTGTTACATATTCTATTATTCAATAGAAATTCTGTTATTCAATAGAAAGAAGTGTCCATGAAATGTTTGATAAGCTTCAATTTTATTGCTATTTATATTGATTAATTGTAATGTAATTGTAATGTAATTGTAATGTAATTGCCTGCAAAGTTAGAGGTAAGCTTACTAGAGGTAAGCTTACTAGTATAAATGAAACAGCTAATAGGGAAATTCTGATAAATTATCATACAAAATTTGACTTCAAGCCTTTTTAACTAGTTTTAGTTCAATCCCAGTGTCATCTAGATCATAATACACAGACACTTTTATAAATCTTTAATGGTGTGCACAATGATGAATTATGGACCATATTTTCAGAAGAATATGAAGACCAGCCTTCAGGATCAGTACCAGATACTGCTCCTCTCCTACCTCAGGAACAAACAGAAGCAGAGGAAGGCTCTCCACCACTGCGTAAGGTAATTAATTGTGAAGAAGGGATTCTGTAAATAGTAGAGTACTCTATGTATAAAATACAGTACTTTTCCCTTCTTTTCTTCTTTTTTCAAATTTCTAATGTCTAGACCTCATTCCAGGCAAGCAGGTATATTTTCAGATGATGGCTAATGTATATTTTTCTGTGRATCTAACTATTTTGATATGTGCTAATCAAATACTCATTCACTCTTGCACCATTGAAATGTGTAGCAATGCTCTCTGATTCTAAGGTTGACAGAAGCATCTCTCACAGCTACCTGGGTTAAATAGCTGCTGAAGCAATAGCATGGATTTGTCAAAAACAGATATACTTTCTGATGCTCAAATGTCAGTCTTGGAACATGCAGTGCCCACAAGTTCTGCAAATTTTCTTCATTAAAGTGTCCTTATGCATTAAGTTGCTAACACAAATTTGATTGTTTTTCTCTGGAGAGTTTGTTAGTCCATGTAATAATTTGCTATTTAAATACACTGTGTGATGACAAAGTCTCATAACCAGGCTATGCAATGTGCTGCCTCGGAACCCACTTACTTGGCAATGAATGTTTCTGTTTAAAGCTACTGATGGTCCTCTGATGAATGATAGCACCCTTCCTGTGGGTTGTTCAGGAGGATATACTATCTGGTTTGGAGGAGCAGAGTGAAGAGATACCAAGAAACTTGAACGTAAAAAGTATGAGTTTTGTTGTTGTTGTCTCCACCCCTTTTTCTTAATGCCTAATGTAATTATTTTTCGTGGGTAATACATAATACATTATTGAAATAGGACRTCTAGATGTTGTCTGTTTAGTTAGTTATTTTTATCRTTAAAACAAGTTCTCACTAAATAAATCTGGTGTGTTTACCAGCCGGTGTCCATATGCTCCCCTGTTGGTGCTCAGCAAGGCTTTTGTGTTGACTGTGTCTGCATCTCACTACTATACCACAGCATGCACACATTGCATGACAATTGTTTATTCTATTGTGGTGGTGGTGGTATATAAATAYCACATACTATATGGTATGTTTATGAGACATTCCTGCTTCCACAACATCAGTTAGGCATCAGATTGCAGCATATGCAGGAGAAAAAAAGAAACTGCAGCGGGGCTTTAGTCAGGTAGAGCAAATGTCCTGTATATGAGGAGGGGAGGGGAAAAGGGGTTGATTTTTTTTTCTTCCAGATATTTAGGGATACAGCAATGTGCARAGCAGAATGCACAACTCTCACTTCTCCAGACAAACGGGGATTAGAAACTTTGCAAAGCTAATGTTCCCCTCCTGCAAAATCAGAATGGTTGTCTCAAACCATAGGATGTTTTGCAGGCAAAGAAAGTCATAGAAGCAAGTCCAACAACAGCCTGTAAGAATTATTCAAATGTTTGTGGTCCTCTTCATGCTTTCCACAGCTATTCAGTTAGTCAAATATCACTAACATTATTTATTTTTTTTCAAAATTCTTTCAAATGACTTCTCCATGTGTTTTCTAATTTYTGTGATTTTGTATTTTGTCTGATGTGCAGGACTTGACTGCTGTGTGACTTAGTTACTATTTTTTCTGTTCAGATAATTTATCTAAGCTTTAACACAAAATATATATTGTAATATTCAAGGTTACACAAAAACACTTCAATTCACATGTCTTATCTAACTTTTTTTATATAGGTGAATAGAGAGGTCATATTCAATAGATTAGTTTAAATTACTTTTCTAACAGYAGTTTCTGAATTACCAGTAACACTTTTGATAACACTTCATTTCAGCAATATTTCAGGGAAAGTTTCTCTAATACAGTACTACTGGCTCTTTGAATTAAATTGACTAAATTGCTAATGTTGCTTTGAATTTTATAGTAAAGATTATTTGGTACATAAAGAAATTCCAAAGATGAAATTATTAAAGTACTCAGTAATAGCCCGAAAACAAATAGATATTCAATCTATTGCTTTTTGATACTGCTTTAGATATCATATTGATAAAGGATTTCACTTTTTATTTTGGACTTCATCCAAGGGCACTGCAAAATGATAAGGGGCTCAGAAACAAAGTAATGAAAGTTTTTGAAGTCCTSGAAAAATGCTACAAGATACACTGAAAAAAACAAACAGGGAAAGAAGAAACAATGTATATAAACTAATATATAGTGTAGAGAGAGTGCCAAGAGAACATTAGACTGAAAATGAATGCATCTAATATCCGTAGAAGGAAGTATTTGTTTACACCATGCTTAGTTAACCTGGTGAACTTGCTACCACAAGACACCTACGTGCTCAGGGATTAATTTTTTAAATACAAATTTTAGGCCGAGGTAGTGGCTGAGGCTCCAGCAGCAGCACCCAAACGCCTGGCAAACAAATCTCGCCGGTTTTCCCTTCACAGAGGCGCTGGTATCACTTCACACAGGGAGAGAGTTGAAGCTCCAGCAAATGAATCAAATCCCTGGGCAAGACGTGGCATGGCTTAAGCCTAATGGTTTTATAGATGCCACTTAATACTACTAATAGTATTAATGAATAAAATGAAACACATTGTTGTTCAGCTGTTTGTTGTAGCCCAGGGCAGTTCTGCAGTGCTTTGGCTCCAGGCAATAGCAGATACTTCCAAGGCAAAGCTGCGAGGAGGGCCGCTGTGGGGGCTCATCAGTTATGGCAGTTCCTGTGTTGCAGCAATGATAGAGCAACGTTGCTTTCCTATCCCTTCCATTTTTTTTTTTTTGTGAACTTTGCAAAATATATTAGTTTTAGAGCCGACCAAAAGAAATACTTTTTTTTTTAAMATGGGAAATAGGGAAAATCTTCAGTTTGAAATATCTTGTGTTTATTTCTGCTCTGACAGAAAATACATGGCTTTCTTTAAAAATCCAAAAATATTTATTGAATAATGCATTAACTTTTTGCTTAAATTTTTACCTACAGACAGGAAAATATAGTCTTTTTTAACTTTTTTTTTTAAACACAAAAAGCATTTTGCTTCTCCAAACAATTACTTCTGGATCTGCTGTATGCTGGTGGTTTTTTTTTTTTTTTTTTTTTTTTTTTTTTTTGTGAAATACATGAATGTTTAGATGTGTTGAGACTGAAAAAATAACATAAATGTAAAAAAAAAATAGAAGTTATTCATGAGGTTATGACACCACACTAGACTGAACAAGGCGCTTAAAATGTAGATAAATAATAATACAATTTGAATCGCTAAAAATTCCCTGTAGTCTTATCTAGAAATAATTTTCCCTGGCTGCAAATATTATAAATAGGGAATTAGCTGGCTAATCCTCAGAATTTTCTGATGAGTGAATAAAATGGAGTTGTTTGCATTAGAAGGACACATAATACTTGGAATTCAGTATTAATCCTTGCAAATGTGGATCGTTCTGTTTTCATTCAAAGAACCTGTTTCAAAAATGATTTCTACCATGAGCTTCGTATTCATAACATAATAATTTTATGCAAACTTTGTTTTCCTGCCTTGTGAGTTACTTAACTTCTGAACCACAAAGTTATGTCATAATCATCTTTAATTACAACACATGTCTAAACTGCCAATAGAAATTTCGTGGCGTGAAGTTCTCATTGAGCACATGCGGAATCCCAAGAGGTAGGGCCAGACCCACCACCTGGCTGCTTCAGGAAACTGCTGTCTGCAAGTTCCTCAAATTGGAGGCAGAAAAGGCAGGAATTCAGACACGTTGCTGTTAGAAACTAGCACATGAGTTAGGCAAAATTTTACTTATTTGGCCAAAGATGTTCTGCTATCTCTGAGTTCTTGTGACTCTGCTTTATAATTAAGGGTCAGCATTTGGTCAGCTTAATGGTCAGCATTTAAAATGCATCTCATTGGATTCCAAATGGTAAGAAGGTCAGTTCTTCATTATATGAAAACAGTGGGAAGAAACAGTGGGAAAAAAAAAAAAAAAAAAACATGGTAATATAAAATGTTTGTAAAGGGTGTAAGATACTCTTTTCTGGTACATTTATGCTTGAAAAAAAAGTGAAGCTGAAGTAGATAATGAGGTTGTAGTCATGAAGAAAAGGGATAGTTTCTAGAACTACATTATTATTKCACAATGTGGATAATCTTGCCAGAGATCACCAAGAGTTGATTCTACATGTATTTAACCAAAGACTGGGATTGTCGTTATGTTCAAGTTCTCTCCTTCCTTTCTCCAGGGTAGGTTATTGTCAGGAACTTTCTGAAGTCTTAGCCTAACATGTATGAAAAACTGAGCTGCTGAGCTACTGAGGCTTCGTCCCTGGGCTTATGAATATTTTCTGAGCTCAGAATTAATTTATTAAGCATATTAAGCATATTAAGCTTATAAAACCTACTGAAAAATACTTTTTAAAATGCTAACTAGATTTTTTTTTCCTAGTAATTTTACCAAGCACGTTAATTCTGTAGGTTGTGCAGTTTCTGTTTTCTCTTTTATAAGTGCCTTTCTTCATGTTGCTGGGAAATACCTCAGTGAATGAATATCTATTAGGAAACGCAAGGACTAGGGAGATATGAGAATATATATGAGGTAAACATGATAGGATTAATATGATGGAATTCAAATAAATTAAATGAGTTAAAGCCTTTTAACATGTTGCAACTATGTTCATTTATTTTGAAGGCTCTGAAAGGTTACGGACCCACAAAAATGTAGTTATCCCAAGACAGTCAGTTCAATGAGAGTCTATTATGGTGAAGTTTATTATTCTAGGGTTCATTCTTCCCTAGTGTGATTAAAGATTTGTTCTTCTAAAGGCATTGGCACCTCATGGGCTTGAAAGAAACTTTGCTTTTCTAGAATCAAAGCCTGATTGTAGTCTTCCCATACAAACAGACATTAAAAATATATACCTCTTTGCAAATCATTTTCTTGAAATAGTAAGTACTTCAGTTCTGGAAGAAACCCCTCTTCTCAAGGAAAAGTTGCTACATTACCATCTAGAAAAAACAGCCTATTTTCCTTAAATGTTATCTGGCCTTAGCATATACCACCTTTAAGTTTGGGATCTGCAGTTTTCTGGCTTTGGATATTTATTTTCCTTTTGAAGTGGAGTTTTTACTCTTCATGTTGAATTACCCTGTATTAAGCATGTACATTGCTACTTTATTTGTAAACTGGCAATTCTTCCTTCTGTTATTCCCAAACTAGTTGCTGCAGTTCCTGCAATGAGTTCTGTCTCATAAGTCTTAGTACCTGTGTCTGTAGTATTATGTGTCATGGAACGAAATGACATCTGGTTTAAGAKCAAATCACTATTAGATAGGGGGAAAAATGGCAAAAATGATATGTCTTCAATAGCCATTCACTGTAAATGACTGAAATTCAAATGATATAATTAAAGATAACAAAAATTAGGCTGAGCCACTGAGTTATTGAAGCAGAACTCAAAATATTATTGAGGAGCTTCCTCATCATTAAGATGGCTCTTGGGGACAAGCTTTCTCTCTTCCCCATTGTTTTTTTTTCCTTGAGCCCTAACAGCCTGTTTCTGAGCAGGATTGAACTATTTTTATGCAAATTTTAATGCAAATCTGTAACCACAGATAAATTCCCAGAGGTAAAGACTTTGAGACTGAAAGCAACTGTTCTAAGCCATAGTACTTCAGTCTGAAGTTTCTTGTCTCCACTCTTCCTCCTCTTTTTACTCCCTCTCACACAGTCTTCCAGTTGGTTGGATTTCTAAGGTGCAGTATGTGTCAGCATTCAGCAATGTTAGCCAAGATTATGGATTTCATCCACGAGTCTTCCTTCGTGCTCTCCTCATTGTCCTTGACAAGCCCAGAATTCTGTATTTTCAAAGGAGAAGGCAAATTCTCTCTCAGCCTGTTTGTTCTATCTAGCATTCATGGATGAAAWAAACTAGTGAGTGTCAGCTTAGTCCTGAATGTTTCAGTGGGTTAATTTCTTTTTACATCAAGGAATCAGATTCATTTCTCTTGTATATAGAGCCCTAGTTCTGCTACATACTCAGAACTGAATTAGTAGTATTAGACATAAAGGGACATAAAGTGTCCCAGATTCAGATAGATTTGTACTTTTARAACATTAGAGAACTTAAAAAAGTAAGTGCATTTCAGATAGGGAGATCAGAGGAAAAGAAATCTATGAGATTCCCTCGCCAGGCTTCYCGCCAGATGTCCATTGTGGAGGGGGACGGAACAGGAAGAGGGAAGGGTAATGAGCGGGGTGTGGTGCCATGGCATCTCTCCCAAACTTGACTCATGAGAGCAGTTTTGACAGAAGACATCAACAGAGTTGGGGGGAGCAAAGGTATATTGGCATTAAGTCATTTGAACCAGGGACTATTTGGTACAAAACAAAATGTGAACTTAATACAGAAAGTGTTTAATGTCGTAAAGACTCGGCTGAAAACGGGCGTGTTGATTCTTGCTCTCTCTGATCCAATGAATCTTTAATTAAATCAAGATGTGTAGCAATAGCTGCTTTGGGAAAGTTCCCTGCACACAGTAGATGATGTAGTAAGGGCATTTCTACTCAGGGATTGAATCACTTTAGTGGAGGAAGGAAGTCCTTTCAAATTGCACTGTTCCATTCTGTCCATCTACTTCTTAACCTGGCAGGTGCCTCTCCAGATCTTCAGTCTTCGAGGTAACTTTTCACRGCCTAGAAGAAAGTACTGCCAAAAATCTAGGTTTAAGAGGAAAAGTCATCTTTGATATTACGTTTGGATGACTCTGCTTCAGGTTTTGCCATGTTGTGCATTCTGATGCATTTGATTTTTTCCGTGCATTGCATAGGGAGGGTTAAGTTCCTAATTTATGGCTGCGGATTCTGTTGACAGGTTCAGGAACTGAAATACTTTTGTGCCTTCAATTCTTTTTTTTTTTTTTTCCTTAGTTGCTTAATTGTCATAGTTTAATCTCTTACCTATAAAACAGGGATGATTTTCTGTGTACAGATACTGAAGTATATGAAAGTATTTTAAAACTCAGTCCATTTTTGATACAAGATGTCAATTTTCTGTAATCCTCCACATCCTCCCACATTGAGGAGGGTTCTACCAGAATGTGCTTTGGAAAGGTCTGTGCTTGGTTACAGTATCAGTACAATGCAGAGATTCGATTATCAAGGTTATTTTTAAAAGTTATATTAGCTCAAAAAGGAAAGTGACAAGTCTAATTCAGCATTATTTCATCACATAAAACTRCTTGATTAATATTACTGTATGAATAAAGATTTTGTGTGTAAATGGAGATTTTCTGTAACCTTGTTTTATTCTAAAACTGTGATTTTTGTCTAAACCAATCCAGTGAACTGTGTTATTTCAGCAGAATTATTCTAATGRCTAATGTTTGAACATGGTTCTTGTGAACAATGTGCTTATAAAACTGCAGGAAGTCATTYGGAGCTTGTTCCTGTTCCCTTTAAGTCATCAGTAAAATAATATTCAACTKGTAAAATAAGGAAGCAGGAAAATAATAATAAAGTAAGAATTCCATACAAACAATAATATTGCCTTTTTTTATTAATTCCATCCTGAATTTCAGAAAGTGATTAAATTGTATCTGTTTAAAGCTTAGAAAGCTTTGGGACGTAAGAGATCAGTTTCCAATCTACGTTTAATTTATGTGTGCAAGGCAATTACCTCACTTGACCCTGGATTAAAATTGGGCACTACTTGTTGACAAAGGAATTTTAAGTTTTGTTCATTAAAAGTTTTTATAAAACTTTGTTCATARAAGTTTTTATAAAAAGCTTTTATAAGTTCCATATGGCAGGGCAATGCTGTCCCCTCCCTGCCAGGCCGCACAACATGAAATGAATAGTTAGGAAACTAGAGGGTCAAGAACTGTCTTTTTTTCCCTCCCATTTCTGTGTTGCTTTCAGAAAATTTTCATTGGTTTTATAATTACTGCTTTTAGCAGCTATAAGGCACTTCAGAGCTTCTGAATGATAGTCCTTAATACTGCTGAGTTGTAACGGGGATTTTGGAGACAGCGATGTCAATAACTGGCCATTTCCTGCAGCAATGTAGGGTGATATCAGATTATTAAACATCTCATTTRCAAGCAGATGAATATCTCTGTGCATGGCAGACCTGGATAGACTAATCTTTTTTAGCACAAGACCTATTTGAGAAAATAAGGAAAAAAAAAAAAAAATAATGGGCTTGGCTTTAGGCTGGCTATAATTCTGAAACTGAACTAACWGTCTTATACCTTTGGCAACATTTATGGTTTTTTGAGAGCTGAGTTAGTTTCAAGCCCATCCTTCTCCTTTGCTCCRTGGAAAAAAGATCTTACTTTTTTGGAAAGTACCAGATCTAATCTCCCCCTCTCTTCTCTGGCCTAGAGCTCCAGTATCCTGACAGTGACCTTTTCTGCAGCTTCCCAGGATCTTCCTAGGAGCCGGTCCCCACGCTTACGATGCCGCCTGCATATGACTTCTGCTTTTCTCTTACATGTGCCATGCCAGACAGACACATACAGAATGTAGTAGTCCTGTCAACCTGAAACAGAGGAGAAGGAAAAAAAACTGTTTAATTTTGGACCTAGCTCTGAAACCAGAGTCTTCTGGCTCCTTTCCACAGCTTCTCCAGTTGGTTGTGGGGATGTTCAAGACTGTATGAGTAGCGTAGACGGGATTCCAGAGAGCTTCTGAGTGAGACAGCAGATCTGTCAACTGTGTTGGCTTCTCACCTCTGTGAAAASGAAACCGTAGTGAGCATTTGTGAGCAGGCTGGTTAGGAGAAGGCAGAGCAAACAGCCTGTCCCTAAAGGCAGTAAACTCAGGAAGGCCGCTCCCCATTTCTTTAGGGGAACCCTTGCAGTCCTGTTAGTATTAGAAAGGGTCCGTGTTTTTAAAAGGCAAATTGGTATGAACCCACTAATTATACTGGAAACTAGAGAATTATACTCACTTTTGAAATGCTGTCAGTTTGTACTTTTGAGCCTGGAATTATGAGTAGCCTGGAGAGTTTTGAAACACGTTTGAATAAAACTTGCAGGGTTAGATTAGTTGAGAGAAATAGGTATGTTTCCTATTGCAGTCAGTAAAACTTTGCAATAAAATGGCTTTTTGTCATGCCCTATTTGTTCATTCAGTAGCACAAATAGCTTTATTTTGAGACAGCCTGTGTATTTTAAGCATATTTCAAGCAGATTCATAACCTCTTGTTTTTACCTACACCTGAAAACTGCCTTGTATTTGCAAGTAGCATGGTTTTTTTTTTTTTTTTTTTTTTTTTTTTTAAAGCAGGAGTGCTGTTTCCTTGTTTTTAACCGCATAGGAGTTAACATTTCATGGCTGATAGACATTCTTTTTCAAACGAGGTATATTCTCTCCTTATTCAGGAAGCTGGTGGGTTTTCAATGTACATGTGTTGGCCCCATTGTCTGTCTGTCTTCTTACCTTCCTGCTTTTTCTTTTTCTTTCTTTTTTTTTTTTTTAAACAGATGTCACCAGTCATCACTAGGTCAGAAGACCTGAAATTTATCTCAGAGTGTAACACAGAAACAGCCTCACCTGCAGCAACACAGTAAGCAAGAAATATTTAAACCATTTGCAGTGTTATTTCTGCAAGTGCTGGTTAGAAAATGTGAGAAATGTTGGGGGATATACTTTGTTTTAGCAAGCAGAACAAGAAATTAGCTTCAGGATAATTATTCAAAGGGATTGTTTGACACCCAGCGTGAAGGAAATACTGGTTTATATGTATAGGTACATACACACACTCACATGTGTGTGTGCACACACACACACACACACCCCAAAGAGAATCAAAAGTGTAGTCTAGAGATACTGGTTTGCCCTGTGGCATCCCTTAGCTCTGTWTTAATATTTAGTGCTACAACCTGGAAACTACTTTTGCACTTTCTAAAAATGAATTAAGCTAAGTTGAAAGAGTGTCACGTACAGAGAAGATGAGCAAGTTATGACATCTTTGATGGCGACGCTTGTATTTTTTAAAATTTGTGTATTCCTGTTGTGAAAATTGGAAGCAGATAACATCTCAGCATTTTGAACGTGAACTTCACGACATCTTTAGCTTGTTGCAACCATTTTTATTCGAAAAATACAAGTGGAARTTCTTTTGTTTGCCAGTATAGGCATCTGTCATCTAAACAAAGTTATTTCACTGATCATTTTCCAGACTGGTCCTGCCTACAGATGCCTAGTTTCAACATTTTTTTTAGATCCTAATTTTCTATCTCAAGCCATATCTGCATTTGAAAATGAATGTGAGTCGGGGGCTTAACATGCAAGTTTGAGGAGGAAGAGATTGTAAACTGCAAACTGACAGAAGTCAGGGCTGAAATATTCTAATAGAATTTACATTAAGAAACAAAATGTGCTGCAGTGGAATTACTGTAACAGTTAATACAGCCTGTCAAAAGACAGGATCCAAAATTTTATATGATTCAACTGCATTTGTGGAACCTAAGCAAAAACTTCTCTTGCTTGACCTTTCCTGGGTAACTACTGAAGAATGTGGGACCACAAATTTAAAATGTTGAATTACTTAAATTTGATTAAATTCTTTTTATCTTGAGTGTTATGAAATACAAAGTACTTGTTTTGATGGAAACTAACCTGAGTTACACTAAGCTGAACTGGCATGCTGAATATGCAAAGGCCAAAASCCTTTTCACTTGCAAGATCAAAAAAGGCACCTGGAATGTACTCCCTCCTCCTGAGCAGTRGGAACACCACGGACGTGGCCATCTAAACATGAACATCATGCTTCATGYCCCTGCTGTGTACAAGGTGGGCACGCCTCAGGGTACCAAGTCATTTCGGTGCTTAGCAGTGAGGGAGAGCCTAAGGCAGTGTCTGCTGCAGTGGTGGGACACTGTGCCTAGGCAGGAGAGAGCCAATTTGAAATGCAGGGGCTATGTCAGTATATCATAGTGTGTCAGCAATATGCTGTGTTTTTCTTCCATGCTCCAGGATATTCTAGAGGTTACATTTTTGTTGCTTCTGTTTTTCTTTCATCATGATTTGACTCTCTGTGGAGCAAAGAGACAGCTGCTTTCACTGAATTTTTAAGATAATGCAGGTCCTGATCTAAAACTCGGATCTGCAGGCATAGACTTTTTGAGTTATTCCACGATCTAGAGCACAGTAAAATGGGATCCATTCATCTGTGTGATTTTAGGTGCAGTGACTGCACATATAAAGCTATTTCAGAAGAGATTTTGCCTTATTCAGAAAGCTGAGAGGAGCATCTTCTATGCATCTTCTGCACAGTTATCTGTACAGTGCAGATTACATAGTAAAACATTTTAGAATAATGCCTGCAGATACATCATTAAGTTTCTCACTTCTTTTTATCTAAAACCTTTTCTTGTTTGCCGCAATTAGTGAGTCTTGAAATATCCTAGAAAACAATGTGCTTGCAAATAGGAAGTTTTTAACTGGAAAAGGTTTCTATTTTAGCATCCATTAGCAGCATCACRTGACTTGAGATACAGTCTCATCTGTACTTAAATACTTGCTTCGCCTAAAACTTTAATTTTCTTCCTATTTTCTGTGGAAATGCACTCAATACTTGTGTCACATGCTAATTATGCAGTAAATAAATTTTTGAAAAGTCAAGTGAGATGTAATTGCCAAGTACAGAGTTTCATTATGGAGAAGTGAAACTACTTTAGCAACTGCACAACTCATTATACCTTGCTTTGAGCCTGAAGATGAATGCTTGCTATTTTACCTATTAAAATAGCACTCATTATGGCTGCAACATTTCCTGCAAAATAGAGAGAACTGCAAGACCTTATGGCATACTCACCCTTCAGAAGAGTTAATCTATCTTCTCCAGTTTTTAGAAAAAGTAGGGGAATGTCCATGTCTTAGATGCTATGTGAACTAAGGTTTTGTCTAAGGAGGCTTGAGTATCACCACAAATGATACTCAAAATCATAAAAAGATGAAAACTACTATTCAGAYTTTGAGTAGGTGAGGTTTAATACTGAAAACATGCATATTAACATCACCTTTCTGATATTAATGATTAGATCTCATTTGTCAGTACAGACAAAATCTCCTCAGATATATTTTCATGGTACAGTTTTGTTGAGCTATGCTAGGGAGAACTCACTCTGTAAATTTACAAATGATTATGCATTAGGCCCAGCTACATGCATAGTTTGGTAGATTGGAACATAAATTACTCTTTAATTATGTTTCCGTGCCCTGCTTTCCTCAGACAGCTGTACTTCTCAAATGATTCCAGAAATCCTAAAGCAGAGGATCTTCAACTCCAGAACTGTTTTTTGGGGATGTTCCACTACTAGAGCTGCAGCAATTTCCATATTTCAAGAATACACAGTTTATTTCTTAAAAAAAAAAAAAAATAGGCAAATAGCTATTCTTGTTACTACTAATTCCTATAGTAATTCCATTAATAATGCTGATGCATAAAGGGTTTCATCTGTAAAATTTTACTACATTTGAACAATATCACTAGAGTTCTTGGTTCTTGCATCAACATTTTTGGGGTAACGGCACTTACTTCATTATTATCGTAGTCTTCCAAACCCAGACCTGTTTGTGCTTTGGCCAGAACATATTTTAAACAGTGACAGCACTTGTCCTTGAAAGATTGCACTCTAMGAACTACTGCTTATTCACATTTAATAAAGTTACAACTTCTGCTAAGAATGGGAATTCATGGTAGAAGTGGTGTGAACTGTTCATTATCCCTGGCATCAGCAACAATACCAGTCTAATCCCATTTTTAAATGGCACTAACTGGGAAAGGTAAAGAGGATGTGGGCTGCATTGTTGCTTTTGGTATTGTATGAAGTGTGATGAGCATATATTGATGTTAAATTGGCTTCTGATTCATAAATGTGTCCTACTTCAGGTAAGTTAAAATGAGCAGATTAGTGTGTTCCACTCTACCTGTCTGACTTTATTACAGTAGTTGAATAAATAAATCAGAAATCTCTCTCCAGTTTTAAGAATGTTGGCGTTTGAGCTTAGAAAAAACAAAGTGCAGTGACTTTTATGAGATGAGGTTGGTAATTTTTTATTACATCTGCTGATTATTAATCAAGGCTTCAGCTGATATTTAAGAACATGGGCAGTTATTTATCAAGCAGCACAAGGACATGCACTGAAAGGCAGACTAATGGATTTGGAATGGTCTCTTATATTTTGTCCTCATTTTTTTTCTGTTTTTGTTCTGCAATAGAACAGTAATTTTTATAGCTGTTTCAGCATTGTGCTCAAGAGGGACAGGCAAGCAATTGTTTTAACATGTCAGGTGTGGGTGGAAAAAGCTCTAAACTTGAATTAACTTCATGTGTTTCTTTTGCTGTTTTTATTTCCACCTTCCTCTAGAGGTACAAAGAAAAAGAAGAAAAGGATACAGAAGAATGAGACAGAAGATCAGAGCAACTTAATGGGTCTTGATACTCCTGTATCATCAATAACAGCTAATGGTGTTGAAAATGAACCTACAGCCCATGGGGTGGAATTGAAGAAGAAGAAAAGAGCAGGGAGAGGCTCAAACTCCAGCACAAATGGAAAGGCAAATATTGCCTTTGAACCTGAATGCTATGATGTGTAGCCATAATTTAATTCCAGACATTGGTGTGACATTCACATTCATATGCACAAAACCAGATCTGAATGTTGCAATTATGATCTCCCTTCTGCGGTTATCAAGAAATAAAAGCCCCCTCCCCAAAAAAAAGAAAAAAARAAGAAATGAGAAATTAAGAAAAGGTGCCAGTTGTGACTTACCAAGGGTGGATGGCCATTTCAGAATAATTTCCACCCCCTAGAGCCGCCTCATTTCCTCGAAATCAACAGAACTCAATTATTGAACTCCTCGCTGAACCTGTAAAATCTGAAATTTGTTTGGACAGGTATTCCCTGACAACTCTGCTGACAAAGGCAATTTGAAAGAATTTAAGATCTGTTTAGCCCCCTAGCGTAAGCTAAGCAGGCATTTCAGTTGAGTTCTGATGAGGATGGGAAGTGTGAAATCTGCAGACCAATCCATTGTGAGCAGGGAATTGAGTCGAAAAGTGTCAGCTACAACAAAAGAAGCCCAGCCACGACAGAAGTTATTAAATTAGCGGTTCAAAATTTGTTGCACATCAATTAAAGCAGTGTTCAGAATGGTGACATTCCAAAGGAAGTCTAACACTACAGTGTACCTGACAAAGTAAGCTATGTAAAAATATTTTCCTCACATCAGATACTCACTTGGACTGCATTTTGCAGCTTTTGAGCAAATTGTTGAGTACAAACCTATGCAACTAAATTGACTTCAGTGGATTCCTGATGCTTACCAATCAAAGTAAGTATTGCAAAGTGTAGCCATTGCTGTTTGTAGATGAGGGTTTTATGTATATAATGAATGTGCAATGTTAGACTTTCTGGCTGCTTTGGCAGCAGTATTGCCAAATACACTCTCTTTTGTCTAAATGAAATTTATTTTTTATCAAACTGTGTTGTTTGTTTTACTTTTTTGTGTAGCCATTCACTTGTGTGTCATTAATCTGTTTTTAATCGAGTGTTTTCTGGTGAACTTTTATTCATGATTTCACTCATTATCTGCAGTTCTGAATAATTTACATTTTATATTAAATGAAACACTTTCTATCAGTTACTGTTGGTATTTTTTCTGGCTGATAATGTCCAGTTTATTTTTACTCTGCTAGGAAATTCTTCCTCCTCCCCCTCTGAAGCAATAAATAACATAAATTTAGAAAGCCCTTATTTAGTAGACAGGGCACTTGATTCCATTAAAAAAAGAAGTGAGAATAACAATGTTGGGCACTGATGTGTGAAATGCAGCCAGATGCAGAGCACTAGTTGCTATATATTGTAATACCTTCTCTGCACATGGTTTAAAGTTAGAAGAAACGTTTCTTTTTGAGTAAAACACCCTAGAAAATACTCTTTTTGGCCCCATGGATAAGTGTTTCTTTGCTAACAACCCATGTTCTGCTGTGGCTGGTGCCCATGCGTGCCCTAAATGCAACTTAGACCCATGTGGTGCCACGTTCTGGTTTGTCTCCCTTGTCTTATGCGGTGTCAAACTGTTAGTCCTGGCACTGCCTAATTGCAGCTAGGCTTAGGGCTTCTTACCTCTCAGCTTTGGAAATATACACATATTTCTATGTCATTTGCAGGTTTTATAAGAGAGAAAAATTTCATCATCTCACGTCTTTAAACATGGCCAGAGTCCCATTTAAAATAAGGGCAGGGCATGACATCAGGCTCCACACCAGGCGAGGCTGAGCAGTAGCCAAGACGTGGAAGCTCATTGGGAAGCTTTGTAAAATGTTAATTTGGCACGCTGGACACTGAAGACAGAAATAACACTTGAGATAAACACCACGGAGCGGTGGTAGCTCTAATCAAAGGCACAGCACCTCCTTTCATGCTGGCGAACTAGGGCTCCAATTATGTGCACTGCTCTGAAGCTGAATAGAGCTGCTTTGCCACACTTTCCAAATTGAGAGGAGAGGCAGCAGTCGTGTCTTCCACGGCACTGTTCCAAATAACAATTAAGCAGAAGAAATCAGATAAGAGCCCAGACATGAAAATGCATGGAGTTGAAAATAAACTTTTTTCTTTTCNTTTTTTTTTTTTTTTTTTTTTTTTTGCTTCTGTAATTGCAGTGTCTTTTGTTTTCATAATTTTTCCTCCCAGCCTCCTGGTTGGTGAGATTCTTCTATAGTTTTCTACTAATTCACTGCACTGTCAGAGGTTTCTACACGTGTTTAGCAGAAAATGCCTTTTTTTTTTCATTAAAAGTAATAACATTTCTAAGTGTTCTTTTTTTTTAGAATCAAAATATCCAGACTACTTCTTTACATCGTATTATTGTTACACATAAAGTTTACCTTCTATTTAGAAGCATGGCTAATACATTCATTTTAAGGTAAATACATTGTTTTTCTCTTCAATGATGGTGGGTTCTGAGTATACCTACCTACCTTCATCCTTCAGGCACTGCTGTTGGGATTTTAAAACTTGCAGGAAAAAAATGAAACTTTAAATGATTTGGAATAGAGTGATTGTTTTAAAAAAATAGAGATTTTAATCCCTTATTTCTGTTTTTATGTTAATGCAAAATGATTTTTCAAATCACTGTAAAATGTGCATTGCCCACATCTTCTCAAAGTTCTCCARGTATCTGAAGGAGTTAAATTTGAATTTTAAGAAATCAATTCCAAAAGGCTTCAGATTCCCTGCTGAAAAGAAGTCCTCCTTTCATGTAATTAAAGGAGAACTACATTAAGTATCCTRAAGTACATTGCAAAATTGCTGCCCACTTCATGACTTGAAAGAGCAGAGCTGCAAACTCCCGTCCAAGGAGGTTCCACAGGCTGAAGTCAGTGCCATTCCCCAGTAATGCTATTTCAGTGCTGGGACAAAGCAGGTACAAATCTGTATGGTAAAAAAATAAAATAATAAGTACTAGATATTTTCAAGTGTGTCATGCTAGCAGCCAAGCACTCAGTCTGTCATTGCTTGGAGTTTTGGCGTCATGGGGAGCTTGTGGGGTTGCAGCTCCTGCTACTGCGTCTCTGTCATTTGCTGGAGAGCTCACCAAGAACCTGCAAGCTAACAAAATAGGAAAGAGGTGGCACGTTTTTTCCTGGTGTTTCTCAATAGCCATCAGCCTGCATTTAGTTTTTTTCCCTCAAAATAATTTGAGGAGCAGACATCATAAAACGCATAAGAAAGCGTGTTTGTAGCATCACTTAATTCAGGAGGCAACAGGGGCCGGATCACAGTCRAGCAAGGGCTAATGAGACCACAGAGGAACATGACAACCGAAAGTCTCTGTTGACTAGTGAACTAAATCTGCCGGCTGGACCCGATTGTCTGCGGGAGAATTGGATGTCAGGATCACTTAGGGTTAACAAAGGCCCAGGACAAGCAGGAGCAGACAGCCATGGAAAGGAGCYGGCATGGTAGCCGTTCTGCAGGGAGCGCGGATACAAACTTGGTAATGAGGCACTTCATTCACCACATCCTTCTGCTCTAATTGCGAAGGTGAATAGGAAATACTTCGTTTCGGGCGGGAACAGACTCAAGCGAAAACACTTGTTTGGTAAACACAAAGAGTGGTGGGGGATTTTAATGATCTTTTTCCAGCACGTATGAAATTAGTATGTACGCACCACAGCCCTGTCTCTGAATGTGGGAGCAAACTGGGAGAAAAACAAGTATTTTCTGAATAGTGAAGCAAGCCTGGAAAGATGCATGTACACATCTGTAGTGTGTTTTCGTCGCCTTAGCAATCTGTCTAATAGCTCTCCAAAGTGTTGTAGAGGAATTAAGTTATGGATATGCACCTGCGCCTGTAAAAACATATCGTATCAGTTCAACGGAGGTTATTGCTTGAAATATAAAATATCTATGTTGGAAGCAAAACTACTGTACATAAGGAATAGAAACGAGAGGAGGCCCAAGAGAGGGAAATAAGCAACTTCACAAAACTGGTGTCAGGCAGGAGACTTGCAAGAATGTGGAAATTAGAAATTGGAACTTAAGAAGAAGGAACAGAAGACAGCGGGAAGGCGCGTTAGAGCAGAGCTTTGGTGGCTTCAGTCATGTTTTTGAGGCTTTAGAAATTAGTTGTTTAACCACTTCACCTTTTAATATGTTTTGTGCCATTTACAGGAGCCTTTTTGGATGAACTCTTAGAACCCACAGGGAAGTTTCTCATATCTCTCCAGCAGTTCCTAACTTTGCACTTTCCTAATCCCGTTGCAGAAGGTCCACATCATGCACAGCCTGTAGTACTGTCCAGCATTGCTGAAGCTTTGGGCTATAATTCTTCTGGCAGAAGTCTTGGGAGGCCTTCATGGATGCCTGCTGCAACATGGCCCTCTGCGTAGATCCACGCAACTCCAGACTCTTCATCTGGTATAAAATAGAGTGGAGATTGGGATTTCACACCAAGCTTCTAGCTGCTGCTATTTTGAACGTTAGGTTTTGTGTGATCCTTTTCTTACGTGGCACTTAGTAGGGCCTTTATGTTTGCTCTCATGATTTTGGCAAGAGTGTTCCTCTTGGTTCTGCCTGTTGAATGCCCCTTGGTTGCTGCCTTCCCCTTACGCATGGCCCGTGTTGCAGCAGGGCCATGTGTACAGCAGAGTCCCAGGCCCACAGGCTGCTCAAAATAGACCCCTATACCGAAGGAAAGCCACAGCAAAGTCAGCAAGGTCTAGGCTTTCAGTAGCAACATCAAGGCTGTAGTTTATCCATTAATCTACATTACCTGAAACATCTACAAAATGCTGGTTTAGTTTGCTCTCCTAAATGAAAGCGATTGCTCTGCATTTCACTTACAACTCCATCCACCTGCCTTCTTGTGAGGCCTTGCTCAAGCCAAATGATTTTGCACTGTGTCAGGCTGTGGCAAACAAGTTTTACAATTCCTGTCTAAGGCTCAGATGCAAATACTCAGAAGAAACTGCAGATGCCACTTTTAGCGGAAAAATGTTTCCACACCGGTAAAGCAGTATCAGTAAAATCTATGCACTAAGAAGACATCAAATTCTTGTTGCACTTATATCGCCTGCACAGGCAGGGAGTATAATAAACTAGTGTGTAGCAGCTGTAAATTTTCTGAGG